TGGGAAGACACTTTAGTCGTTTCCTCAGGTTCGTCTTCCGTGTCCAGACTGGCAATAGCTGAAGACCAAGAAATAGAAGAACGTATTTCAAAAGAGCTATCTGATTGAACACCTACCGATATCAAGTAGACCCCGCAGAAATTTGGCTCCCTCCGCCACGGTTTGTTTGAGACCCTTTGATTGATCCCCTTTCATGTAGGCTTCACCGAGTGATTTCAGTTGCTCCAGCGCAAACATCCCCAGTTGTTGAATATTGTCTAGCTGTAATCACAATTGCACATGTGAGATGAGCTTAACAAGTTACCACATCATCATCTTCATCTTGTTCCTCCTCATCCTCGTCTGTTTTATCCAACTTTGTGTCCGGGTTACCTTTAGACTCCTGTGGCTCCGGACTGATCGACTCGTCGGATGATACATGCAAGCATAGAATGAGGAGAACAAACCCGAAAAGAGCTTTCGGTATCGAATGCATGCTCGTTGTTAGGTCGAATGTGCTCACAGAGGATGTGCGAAAAATCGTGTTCCCGGTGTTCCCGTATAGCGGTCGTAGTATATTCGTGCTAATCACAATTAAACTGTGCAATCGTGCCGTGCGAACACGTGCAACCCTGTCAATTTTTCACTCAACAATCAGCACCAATCACAGCTATATTCGTGGCATTATGTGCATGTGTGCATGTGCATGTGTGCGCACCACAGTCGGTTTCAAATATTAGACCGCGAATAACGTTGCACGTAGGTTAGTGCGAGTTTAATTGATCCTCTGTGTGTTTGTGTGTGTGTGTTTGCAGGTGTATGCAAGTGTTTACATTAAAGACCGCTGAAGTGTTGTTTCGCGTTCTTTGTGGATTCGCTCCGATTTCATACGGTACCTGAGTTTGTCGATGTGACCCTATCGAATTGTGACAAAGTTCAGTGGACGTGATTGTCTGCGTCTGTAAACGAATAGCTAGTTTGTCACACTCAAATATGACTGCGGATCTGATTCGGGTACGGAATGATAAGTCACAAACAATGACAAACCCAGTACTGTTTTCGGCTTTGCGTTTCGACCACATCGAACGATAAGTGACCGCAGAGCAAGGGCATGAAGAACTGCGCGAAAACTGTCGTGAAGAATGACACTGCTAAAACATACGTATCCGTACCGTTCGCACTTTAACTCACAATTACTTTGAAGTAGTCACGTGGGTTAATTGAGACTGAATTGGATTGGACATCGATCAGACTTCGCTTTCACTCATAATCCTCAATTTCATCCAGTCAACTAACCACCCAGGTAACACTTCACTCGAGTTTCACTCATGTTAGAACAGATTAGTGTCTGGCCGGTCTAGATCCCTCGTACAAAGCGCACATATGCTTGCTACCCTTGTGCCGACCAGCTCATACGGGGACTGACCAGAACCATGCAGTCAGGTTTCCTCAGATGTCTTCTACACTGATGATTATCAGTCAACTCATTTCAGAAAATATTTTAGAATAAATGACGACGGTCATCCATCTGACCGCCACAAACAGCAGTGACGCATGTCCTCAGTACTTTGAATTCACGGTGAACACGGGTCCTGAATAACCCATAGAGATGTGGATAAATGCCTTCGAATGAATATGCAACCTCTCAGTTAAGCTTAAACTATCGTATCAAGATTGAATAAATCCTACGGTTCAGGGAGAATTTTCCCTTTCACATTCAAAACCTGATCAATATAGGATAGTTAGCAGCTTTACACCGATATATTTTTGTCGTCAGAGTAGGCGGATAAATCAGATTTGCACTAAAGTGGGTCGATTTGTAAAGGATGGGTGCTGTCAGGCGAGTGCTTTCTAATTAAAAACTTCTTTTAGCCATGAGCATATCCGTCACATACATATTGGGAAATTCGGGACACTTGGTTGATCATTTTGAGTTCAAGTCACAGTGCCTTCCTTCGGCGGACCCAGATAAGCGAAAAGAACGGTCTTTCCCGATGACTAATGAGAACAAGATTGATGTAGTCCCCTTTTTCAGGGTGGATGTTTTCTTAGCTTGGAAATAACGGTTTAAAAGTGTACGTTTGAAAGAAAATCATTTGCAGTTGTAACAGCTGAGTGCGGTGATTGAGTGGGTTTATCGGTGAATAGGCCTCAGAAACGTGCTTCTTTCTTATGTGCCTCGTTTGGCACCATGGTTAAACATACTGGAGGTCAACAGAGATTCAGTGGCAACTCAACGGGATCTGATGACCAATCAATCTAAGGATAAAGGGAACAGCATGTGGGAATAAAAGTTTTCACTAACCGGGCAAACACGCACTCTTGGTGATAATATTCAGGTCTAAACACAGTTCCAGCCAACACATAATTCCGCTAAACGATTCGCAAACCTGGGTGATAACAGTCACAACGCAACACTAGGTCCAAGCACTGACAGAGGGAGATGGGTCAAACGCGTTTTAGAGAGTCAACACCACGGTAGATTCATATTTGCGTTATATATTCAACTTCACTAAGTCGGAGGAAAAGACCTTTAGGGCAAGTATACATAATTTGTGTGAAGGACGATTTTACTACTTCCCATGATGATGTAACGACCTTGGCAAATTGCCAGTCCCTTTGAGTGTGAGTCGTGTTCATGTCTAACTGGACATTTTGTTTCATGGTGTGTGCATTTTACTCTCCTTCAGATTGTCAGTTCGCCCTCTCCACGGAGAACCTCCTGTCTGTCGACGGTTCTAGCCCACACCTAGACTCGACCCACGTGCGTTTGTCCGGTGTATCCGTTCACGGGGGACATCCTGCCACACACAGGAGCCAAGCATTTTAAAATGATACACAACGGAAACCGTGAAGAGTGAACATTTCTTCGGCTTGGCAACAAGTCTAATTAAAACACAGAAAAACAGATAATCAAAACGATGGGTAAGGATAAGAATAGCCTAACATGATGAACTTCTACTTGCACAGCGGCGGGGATTATATCTGTTGATGGTTAGTGCTTCAGTGAAACTTAGCAACTTTGCTCTTCGCGACTTGTAGACAATGCGGAACGCCAAGCTTTAGTCCTTCAGGTGTTATCCCGCCAAACCTGTATATGATCTGAGCTTTGTACGGTATGCAACCTATTGAAACGCAGCGAAATCGTCCAGGATATAATTTGTGCAGTACGACAATGAGCACTTGGCTTTCAAATTGATCTCTACAAGGCTAGGTTGACTGCATAAATGTCGTGATCTGTTCGCCTAATTCAATGGTTTACTGAATCCGTTGGCACTAACTGATAATCACGAAGAAACGTTTTCGATGGTATGTGGCACATGAACACTTGTTCAGTAAAATGACGAGGACCGATTTGTCATTGTGTTTTCCAAAAGACCGCACTCTCTTGGTTTATGGATGAATATGTTTACTTTTTCCCACTGAACGTGATTTCATTTAGTATTTCGTAGTTTCACTCCTCTAGTGATTGTTGACCGCTTTCACCTAACTATCGACGGTCTATATGCCTCCATTCGTTACGTTACTGTACAGTCTACGCACACCACTTGCTCTTCTCACTCCACTGAAATCAACATATACAAGGTGGTTGGTGTAGCTGTATTCTCCGAGCTTGAAGTACTGTTCGCAGACGTTTCGTAGCCAGGCGAGGCAACATCATCAATACTGATGATCGGCAACTTTGGAGCACTAATTTGAATGAATGTCCCCTAAGGTGAGTGTTGGACGACATGGCAAAGAATAAACAAGATGGGCAATCTGGGCCCTGCATTATTCATAACTCAAGAGTAAGTAAGTCCCCTCGAATGCGGCGACACTGTGTGGAGTACAGTTGCAGTGATTGCAGTCTTTCCGCGTAACTCTTGGACTGCAGTCCCTTGACCATTTTGATGGCCATTCTTTGTTCACGTTCCAGAATCTACCGATCGCATTGCAGCCATGGATTCCATGCTTGAATGGCGTACTCTATGTGGGGTCTAATGTATGCTGATAACAACCGTGGAAACAGCGTAGGTTCAAATTTGCCAAATACTCGCTTTAGCAAGCCAACGTGTCCTACAGCGATGGACGATACCCGGGAGCAATTTAAAGAACAACTTAGGTCGTCTTGGACAATAACACCGAGATCCTTCTCATTCGAGACATACGGAAGTTGTCTATCTCCCAGGAAATACAGAAACCGCGTTTTGTGTCGAAGGGATACGATCGTACATTTTGATGCATTAAATTGCATGTCGTTT